TGTATATATCCGCCCAAAAAATAATTATCCTGGCGAAAGACCCAACCATATGCAGTCGTGAATGCCGCAATTGTGAGTACCTTCTTCGGCGGCGCCCCCTATGGGGCCACGAACCGCATGAGGGGCATGCCGAGATATGGCGGGGTACACAACGCAAAGGAATACGAAAGGTCAGATTACGAAAGAATGAACCCCTCTACGCATTCGAAAACTCCCCACGCACGCACGGCGAACCCCATCTACCTGGCAGGGCGCGAAATTGAAAAATCGGCGCTAGTGGCGCCCATGAAAGCAAGCACACTACGTGAAACACAACCCATCAGAACGCGCTCTTATGAACGACGACGGCGGCGGCGGCGTCGGCGGCGACAGCGGCACGACGACGACGTCGACGACGACGCAGCACGACGACGACGTCGACAACGACGACGACGACAACGGCGGCGACGACGGCGACAACGACGACGACGACGACGACTACGACGACATCGACGACGACGACCACGACGACGACGACGAACATCTATGTCCATGGCTTTATGAATCCGTTCGTACGGTTGGAAAGGCCATGAGACACCCGTCGCTGAAGAATCCTAGACACCGGTCGGGGCCAGGCCACACGCCGCGATGGTTCGGATTCTTTGCAATGGATGGTTTCACAGCTAAGTGGACTCAACAAGCATGGACAATGATGCTGCGCGCGGGCAACAAAGAGAAGGAAGCGAGGAGGAGGGAAAGGAGGAGGAGGGGGAGGGGACCCTCTCTCCCGTTCGCCTGTGGGGCCGCGAGCATGACGCCGACGGCGGCGCCGACGGCGGCGACGGCGGCATCGGCGGCGGCGACAGCGGCCAGGGCGGTCCTTTTTCCTCCTCCTCCTGCTCCTCCTCCTCCTCCTCCTCCTTCCTCCTCCTCGTCCTCCTCCTCGCCCTCCTCCTCATCCTCCTCCTCCTCTTCCTCCTCCTCCTCCTCCTCCTCCTCCTCCCTCCCTATGGGACCACGAAACGTGTGAGGGGTGTGCCAAAGTGGGTCTGCGGCGCCATGTGGGGTGCGCCACTTGGACCTGAGATGGAGCTCCCTGTGGGGCCACGAAACGCGTGGAGGGGTGCCATGCGAACTGCACCACTGGGACCTTAGGTGCAGCTCCCTGAGGGGCCACGAAACGTGTGAGGGGTGTGCCAAAAAGAGGCGGTGGCGCCATGCGAGCTGCGCCACGTGGACCTTAGGTGTAGCTCCCTATGGGGCCACGAAACGTGTGAGGGGCGTGCCAAAAGGAGCTCCCTGAGGGGCCACGAAATCTGCGAGGGGTGTGCCAAAATGGGGCGGTGGCGCCATGCGAGCTGCGCCACTTGGACCGTAGATGGAGCTCCCTATGGGGCCACGAAACGTGTGAGGGGTGTGCCAAAATGGGGCGGTGGCGCCATGCGAGCTGCGCCACTTGGACCGTAGATGGAGCTCCCTATGGGGCCACGAAACTTGTGAGAGGTGCGCCAAAATGGGGATGAGGATGATAGGAGGGGAGGGGAGGCGGAGGAGGAGAGGAGGAGGAAGGAGACGCGGGGCACCGTCTCTTCAAAACGAGGACCCAACACCACAGGATGGTTGGGAACCATCTATATATATATATATGGGTTCTGCCGTATCCCCGCCCCCCTGAAAAAAAACTGAGCAGAAGTACAGGCTCCGTTTCGCTCCTCCGATCTCCCCCTCTTCCCCACTTCTCCTCCTTCTTTTCCATCCTACTCCGCCGCCTCTGCATCCGCGAACACTTTTCTCTCGCGAGCAAGGCCCCAGCCGCGCCCGCTTCTCATTGCGTTCGCCACAGAGGGGCATCCGTTTTTGGATGCCCCTCCAGAGTAGCGCCGTGGAAGCGCTGTGCAGTGTCGAAGACTTGGTTTGTGGTGTGGTGTCATCACTGATGCTGAGCCGTTGCTGGTGTCGTTGCGTAACAAGCGTGCGGCCATGTGGCCTTGTGTTCGAGCACAGTGATGGGAACCCGTTTTTTGGGTTCCCTCCTGGGTCCGCGTCCGCCACGGAGGGGCATCCATTTTTCGGATGCCCTCCAGAGTAACGCCATGGAAGCGCTTTGCAGTGTTGAAATCTTGGTTTGTGGTGTGGTATCATCACTGATGCTGGGCCGTTGCTGGTGTCGTTGCGTAACAAGTGTGCGACCATGTGGCCTTGTGTTCGGGCACAATGATGGGAACCCGTGTTTTGGGTTCCCTCCTGGGTCCGCGTCCGCCACAGAGGGGCATCCGTTTTTGGATGCCCCTCCAGAGTAGCGCCGTGGAAGCGCTTTGCAGTGTCGAAGACTTGGTTTGTGGTGTGGTGTCATCACTGATGCTGAGCCGTTGCTGGTGTCGTTGCGTAACAAGCGTGCGGCCATGTGGCCTTGTGTTCGAGCACAGTGATGGGAACCCGTTTTTGGGGTTCCCTCCTGGGTCCGCGTCCGCCACGGAGGGGCATCCGTTTTTCGGATGCCCTCCAGAGTAACGCCATGGAAGCGCTTTGCAGTGTTGAAATCTTGGTTTGTGGTGTGGTATCATCACTGATGCTGGGCCGTTGCTGGTGTCGTTGCGTAACAAGTGTGCGACCATGTGGCCTTGTGTTCGGGCACAATGATGGGAACCCGTTTTTGGGGTTCCCTCCTGGGTCCGCGTCCGCCACAGAGGGGCGTCCGTTTTTGGATGCCCCTCCAGAGTAGCGCCGTGGAAGCGCTTTGCAGTGTCGAAGACTTGGTTTGTGGTGTGGTGTCATCACTGATGTTGAGCCGTTGCTGGTGTCGTTGCGTAACAAGTGTGCGACCATGTGGCCTTGTGTTCGAGCACAGTGATGGGAACCCGTTTTGGGGGTTCCCTCCTGGGTCCGCGTCCGCCACGGAGGGGCATCCGTTTTTCGGATGCCCTCCAGAGTAACGCCATGGAAGCGCTTTGCAGTGTTGAAGCTTTGGTTTGTTGTGTGGTATCACCACTGATGCTGAGCCGTTGCTGGTGTCCTTGCGTAACAGGCGTGCAACCATGTGGCCTTGTGTTCGGGCACAGTGATCGTAACCTGTTTTTTGGGTTCCCTCCTGGGTCCCTTCCTGGGTTCCCTCCTGGGTCCCCTCCTGGGTTCCTTCTTGGGTCCCCTCCTGGGTTCTCTCCTGGGTACCCTCGTGGGTTCCCTCCTGGGTCCCTTCCTGGGTTCCCTCCTGGGTCTCCTCCTGGGTCCCTTGCTGGGTTCCCTTTTGGGTCCCCTCCTGGGTTCCTTCTTGGGTCCCCTCCTGGGTTCTCTCCTGGGTACCCTCGTGGGTTCCCTCCTGGGTCCCTTCCTGGGTTCCCTCCTGGGTCTCCTCCTGGGTCCCTTGCTGGGTTCCCTTTTGGGTCCTCTGCAGGAGCGTCTCTGGGACATCTCTGGGGCCTCCCTGGTGCCTCTCTGGTGCCTCCAGGGGTGTCCTGGGGCCTCCTGGGAGCGTCCGGAGCCGTCCGCCCCCCACGGGGGCCTGGCGGAGGGGGGTGAAAAACCAAAGAAACCTAAGGAAAAACAAAACAACAAAGAAATCAAAGGCAGACCACCGAAAAACAAAAAAAACCTAAGGAAAAACCAAGATTTCAGTGCGTCCACCCCCGCGCCCCCAAGAGAAAGTATTGAAATCTTTGTTTTTTGTTTTTTTTGGTTTTTCCTTAGGTTTTTTTGGTTTTTCGGTGGTCTGCCTTTGATTTCTTTGGTTTTTTTGGTTTTTTTGGTTTTTCCTTGCCGTTGTTGTTTTTCGCTCGCCCCTTGCCTGGATGCCACGGATGCAGACTCTCTTCAGAACAATGGCAAGACAGAGGAGGAAGACGACGACGACGACGACGACGAGGACGACGACGAGGGTTTCCTATGGTTTTGCTTGGTTCCGCCTTCGATAGGGGAATCTGATTGGGAGGAGGAGGAGGAGGAGGAGGAGGAGGAGGAGGAGGAGCAGGAGGAGGACGAGGAGGAAGAGGACCCTGGACAATCGGCCCCCTCTGCTCAGTTTGTCAGGGGGGGCGGGGATACGGCAGGACCCATATATATATATATATTGGAAAGACAAACAACAACAACAAAAAACAAACTAAAAACAAACAAACAAAAGTTTGCTAACATTCACTGTTTGCCTGCTGGGACCTCGGTGGCAAGAGAAGCGTTTTCTCCGGCAGTCCCTGCTTTTGATTGTTGATTCTCGCAGGGCTCTTGGCTGGACCAGAAAATAAACGACACCACCCCGCCTACGGCCACACGGGGCTAAGCGGCTTAGCATATACCAGGAATTCAGGCGCAGGTTTTTGTGTGGTATACGCTACGGTGCCCGATGGGCCGTAGCGCAACATGGAGGGCCGTAGGTGGGGTGGTGTCGTTTGTTTTTTGGTCGATTTGCTCCCCTCACCTGGACACCAAAAATGCTCATCCATGTCCTGCTTCGACCGTGCTCCTCTGGGATGCTCGGCCAGTCGTCGAATAACACAATTGCAGGAGTATGTGATCAGTGGTGAACAAAACCTGTCTTGACATGTGTCCCTTCACACTGGAGCACTGCTCCTCAAGCCGCCGAACGGCTCGAATAAACCCCCACATCCCCTCCTTCCAACGACTGCAGGGCTCCGAGTCGAAAGTGAACCGAGAATCAAAACTCGAGGGTCGGGGATCGGGAGTCGAGGTCAGAGTATTTGAGGGTCGAGGGCTCTGGGGAGACCAAAAGGTACCGATACCGAAACTCCCTGGACCTCTCCCAGGGTGCGTTCTGACCAGAAGCTCAAGGCGAATCCAGCGGTGACGACGAAGGCCTCCCGGGAGGCCCAGAGGTGCGAACACGAGGCAAGGCCAGCGGTTTCGGTACCCTTTTTGTTCCTCCCCTGAGGTTGGAGGATCGAGGCGCGAGTAGCAGGATTCGAGGGCCGAGGAGTCGAGGGGTGGGCTCCAAGAGGGGGGGGGGAGCCGAGCCGAGAGAGAGCGCGCGCGCGCCCGGGCCCTGCTCCGGGAGAGGAGGCGCGGGGGCGCTCCTTCGTGATCCTGTGGCAGATGGCCACGGTGGGGCCCGAGCCAATGGACCTCCCGTACCAGACGACCTGGAGGAGGAGGAGGTGGAGGAGGAGGAGGAGGAGGAGGAGGGGGAGGAGGGAGGGGGAGGGGGAGGAGGAGGAGGAGGAGGAGGAGGAGGAGGCAAATCCAAAGCGAAATCCAAAGCGAGGGCGCGATCAGCGTATGGAGGTACTCTCTGTATGACGGGGAAGGTGGGGCAACGATAGGGCGGGGGGCTGGCATAGGGGGGGAGAACGTCCACCTGGAATCGGCTATGCATCGCAAACAGACCTGCGATAGGCCCCCAGTAGTAGACCCGCAGGTTCCTGGGCGGGGTGTGGCCATCCAGCTCCCATCGGCGATCAGTGGGCGATTGGGGGCCGATGCATCCCTCCTATGCCTATCCCCCCCTATCGCTGCCCCTGAAAGATGGTGGGAGCGGACAGCAAGATTCACCTGAGGGGCAGAAATGCGGGCGTTTATGTAACCGCTGCACGGCCACAGCTGCACCACAGCGTCCATTAGGAAATGGAAGGCGAGGAATAAACAAGGGGAGACGACAACCGAGCAAATGGACCAGGGGGGTACTGGGAGACAAAACAACATCAATGACATGCTGCCGTCGGGAAGCCATCAGAGAGTTACTGCTGAAGAAGCACCCGGTCTTCGGACCAAAAAAGTGATGCGCTCATGGGCTCCCAACAGAAGCGTGTCATCGATACTCGGCTCCCTCCCAGGGTACGGCAGGTTCGTGCCGTGGCGACTGGCGCGCTAGTTTCTTTCACAGTGTGGATCGTTCAACCCTGACCGAAAGATGCTCTCGGATAGAGCAGATCGCTCGATGATGGCTGATTCCCTCGCCCATCCGCCCAACCGCGGAGTGAGAGGGAGGCACAGGATGAGGCTGATGAGCCGATTTTCCACCACCACTACAATAGGTAGAAGAAGGAGGAGGAAATCCCCATCCTCCCTTGCCCCCGTCTTACCTATGGCAGTGGTGGTGGAAAGTTGGCCCACCACAGGCAGCAGCAGCCAGGGAACCCGCGAGCCTCTTCTTCCTGCCTTGCTCGGAACAACCACAACTATTGCACAGCATATATCGTACATCGTAGATTCTCCTTTTTTTTTTGAGAGGGAGTATAGATTCCCCATGGCTCGCGCAATCAACCCACTTATCCAACCGAATTCTATTTTGCAAAACACATGCGGCGGCGATTGCGATGACTGTTTGGTGTTGGCTGGTGCATCCCTGCGGCCGCGATAACCCACGCACGCTCGTGCGCACAACGGCCAGCTAATTTGGCGCGACCGGCGCGGCCGCCGTGGCGCTAACCTGTGGGCGCTTCCCAGCGGGCACATCAGTGGGAGTCGGCCACTTGGGCGGGCGCGGTATCCTGGCAACGTCGACAATGGTAGACACGATGCTGACAGCAGCGACGCTGGCGGCGATGATGACAGCGGCGACGGCACGGCCAGTGACGGCGCAGATGCTGATCACGCCGACGACGATGACGGCGTCGTCGCGTCGGTGATGCCAGTTGTGAACGGAGTTCGACATGCGCGCGCGGCCGACGCGCGAGTGGTCCGCATGGTTTTGGTTGACACGGATCGTGCCCCCCAGCACGGGGCTTTCGAATGATGTCGGCATGCGGCGCAAAAGGCCCCGCTGGCCGAATGCACTGCAAAGGTTTTATATGTATATACATTCTTTATACATAACGGTTTTTTCAGAAGTGGCAAGAGCTGGAGCGGTTGTTTTTGAAAACGGATGTTGCAAACCCATGAGGTTTATATGTGTTCGGGGCACTCGGTTTTGAAACTCTTACGAAGCCCATGGTTTTTGTTGAAGGATGTCGGCATACGCGCGCGACGACGAGCGCATGCGCATGTCGTCCTATTTTCTGCCAGGCGTTTTTGCGACAGCATGCGCGCAAGGGCGTTCGAACGATTTCGACATGCGCGCGCGAGGCCCATTCGGTAAAATTGTATGAACAGGTTGAAACCAATAGTTGTTTGATGGATTCGCAAAACCGCACGCGCGAGTTTTTTCTTGCTTGGAAATTCGGGCTGAAAAACCGAAGCTTGTTATTTGTTCTCGGGGCACTCGAGTTTGAAATCCTTACGAAACCCTTGGCTGTTGAAGGATTCCGGAATGCGCGCGCGACGACGCGCGTGTGTGCACTTCGTCCTGTCTGTTGCAAGGGAGTCTTGGAACCTTATGATTTTTGATCCGCGAACAGCGAATGCGCAAGTAAGGTGAAGGGGGAACTGTGAGCATTTTAGTTGGGATGATACGAGTTCATATTTAGCACGGGCGATGGGGCTGAATTATATGTAAATTGCACGACGAAACATGGAACGGGTACGCCACGGGGCGACAATCCTAATACCTTGAAAAAGGAAGACGTAAATGGCGCAATTCATTTTTACAAACGATTTCACACATCCCATGTTCTTGCAAACATCCCACATGCAACCACAACTTGTTTTGCAAAAACGATGCGGCGGCGATTGCGACGAGTGTGCGGCATTGGCTGGTGCATCTCTACGGCCACGCTAGCCCGCGCATGCTCGCGCGCACAACGGCAAGCTAATTTGGCGCGACAGACGCGGCCGCCGTGGCGCTGACCGCTGGGCATTTCCAAGCGAGCACTCCAATGCTAGTCGGCGACTTGGGCGGGCGCGGCATGATGGCGACGCCGACAATGGTAGACACGATGATGGGACTCGCGATGATTGCGACGATGGTAGCAATGACGACGGCACGGCCAATGACGGCGCCGATGTTGATCACGCCCGCCGATAACGATGGCGGCGTCCTCGCGTCGGCGATGAACGCTTTTGAAAGAGTGCGCGCGCGGCCGACGCGAACGAGTGGCCCTCGTGGTATTATTTGACACGGATCGTGTCCCCCCCCGGGCACGCGCGCAAGGGCGTTCGAATGAGCTCGACATGCGGCGCGAGAGGCCCGCTTGGCAGAATGTGATGAAAAAAAGGGAAGGAAAAGAACCCCCCCAAAAAAAAACTCAAGAGTCGGCAAGATCGCGAGCGCGAACCCTGTAAAACCATGTTCTTATGTATGATCCAGGGTCGAGGGTTCACGGCCCCCCCCCCCAGATGGTATGGTCCCAGGATTCCTCGGGCCCCCCCCCCCCCAGAGGGTATGGTCCCAAAGACGACGACGACGACGACGACGACGACGACGGCGACGACGACGACGGCGACGACTACGACGACGACGACGGCGACGACGACGACGACGACGACGACGACGACGACGACCACGACGACGACGACGACGGCTGCGGCGGCGACGACGCCAACGGCGGCGGCGGCGACGACGCCGATGACGACAATAACGGCGGCGACGACGACGATGACGACGACGACGATGACGACGACGACGACGACGACGACGACGACGACGACGACGAGGACGACGAGGACCACGAGGACGACGAGGACGACGACGACGACGAGGACGACGACGACGACGACGACGACGACGACGACGACGACGACGACGACGACCTCTGAACCACCACAGCACCACACCACATCCACAGGGGGGGGGAGGGGGGCACCGCAGCGCAGCACCACGCCACGCCCACCTCTGAACCACCACAGCACCACACCACATCCACAGGGGGGGGGGGGAACCGCAGCGCAGCACCACGCCACGCCCACAGGGGGGGGCGGGGGGGACCATGGCGCGGGGGGGGGGGCCCAATGGCATCAGCATTGGGGGGGGGGGCCCAAGCCCTGGACCATTTATGTTCGGGGCACTCGATGTCGAAATCCTTACGAAATCCATTGATTTTGAAGGATTTCGGCATGCGCGCGCGATGACGCGCCTGTGCGCACTTCGCCCGATCTATTGCAAGCGGTTTTTACAGCAGAAGGCGCGCAAGGGCGTTCGAGCGATTTCGGCATGCGCGCGCGAGAGGCCCCTTTGGTAGCATTCCATGAAAATGTTGAAGAACCGATGCGTTTCGTAAGAATTCAAGAGCGCGGGCGCAGGTTTTTTGTTGCAAACCAATGCTGCGAAACCATGTTCTTATATGTTTCGCGGCTCTCGATGCTGAAATTCTTGCAGAACCTCAGGTTTGTGAAGGATTTCGGCATGCACGCGCGACGACGCGCGCGTGTGTACTCCGTCCCACGTATTGCAAGGAACTGTTGAAAACTGCTGACTGTTGATGAACGAGCACGCGCGCATAGTATTTCTTTCTTCCAGAGGATGAGGGGGGGGAGCTCCGGCCTGTCTGGGATGGTATGAGCTCATTGGATACATGATCCATAAGGCAGAATCACGTGAAAATTGCAATGTGCGAGGCCGGCCCAAGAAGTCCGGGGGAGTGATCGGGGATAGAATCTAACTTCTTGCAAGAAAGGAGACTACACATGTGTTTATGCAACGTATGTTGTGCAGTATATGTGGTGCAATTTGTGTGGTGCACCAAATGTGGTGCAATCCGCCGACCCCTTGTGGGTCTCTAGGCGTGTGAGAGAGCTTCCCCCTCCTACCCCCCCCCCCGGGACCCCAAACCGGAGATTCGACCCCCCCCCCCGGGCCCCGGACGAGCGACTCACGGGGCTGTTTTGGACCCAAAATGGGCTCAAGACGAATCAAGAAGGCCCCAAGAGGCCTCCGAGAGTGCCCACGAGGGCCCCGAGACGCCAAACGAGCGCTCCAAGACGCCCAAGATGGCCCCAAGACAGGCCAAGAGGCCTCCAAGACGGCCCAAGAGGCCTCCAAGAGCAGTCCTCAGCAGGGCCGAAGAACCGAAAATCGTCAATTTCCACCGGGGAAACGAACATTTTGATCATATGCGACTTGTCCGCCCTCACGGCGTTGAAGACGGTCCACGAGCACCCCAAGACCGCCCCAAGACGGCCCAAGAGACCCCCACGAGGCGCCCAAGTCGGCCCAAGAGGGCGCCAAGACAGCCCAAGAGGCCCCACAGACGGCCCAAGAGGGCCCCAAGACAGCTCCAAGAGGGGCCCAAGAGGGGGAGATTGAACCGACAATCCGAGCCTTCCGCCG